GAAAGTTATAGTGCATTTCAGATTTTTTCTCTTAAATTTACCTCGTATTGAGAAATTCAAGAAGCATTATTTATATTGCACCCGTATGATGCATTAATTTTGAACAATAAAAGTATTTCTACATAAACTTTTGACGTAAACAATGTATTGCTCCTTATAAAAGATACGATGGAGATTTCTCAAACGCGTTGGAGATGGATACATTTTTTAACATTTTTTTCTTTTTTTACCTTTAGTGCCAATTATAAATTACTTTCTAACATTTAAAATATGCTCTATTTTATCGTCTTCTATGGCCAAATATTCTTTATACGAATCAAAATATATGGCAATAACAAAAAAATGATACCTTAATGGCCATAACACTTCATCTTGACTAACATCAAAGCTATCTTTATTGATCAAAATTTTCAGCAAATGTATCTCTACTGAGTTTCTTTTCTTTATCATTTTAGCAATATATATTTTATTTAAAACATTTTATAGTACACATTTATCAATTTTCTTAATCATTCTCCATAATGATGTAAACTAAAGCTAAGTAAACGTAACTAGAACACACAACTCAGTAGACAAGTTACACTTTTGAAAAAAGATTCAAGACAAAAATCAAAACTTGTATATGACCAATAACACTTTATACCCCAGGGACTGCTCGTCAAAGAAACCTCTTCCACATATCCACTAAATAATGGTTCTGCAGACATACCAACCTTTCAAAACGAGAAAAAAAATATATAATAAAGTATCGATCAGAAGAGTAGGACTACTTAGTGTACTGGCCAAAAAATTTTATTGTCTAAAGAAGGACCATCACTATTTAGAGTCGAGTAACAGTCCAAAATACTTTACAGTAAATGGTCGGAACAAATTGCTGAAGAGAGGGATAGAAAGAGGTACTACACTAGAATTTTCTTCCTTCCTTTCTAAAATTTTATAACGAAATATGTCAAAAATGATATAATGAATTATTCTATTTGATTTTTAACGTTTCAAGTTTTAAAAAAACGTTATATATGTACAAACATATGAAATATATCCGCCTGATAAATCTTATTATGGATTTAAGAAATGCTATCTTTTATCCAAAATAAATTGGAATTGTCAAGATGGAAACTTTTTCGGGATTTTTACTTGATTTATACTTTCGAGGTTACTTTTCTTCATCAAAATATTTTAAAGTGGTAAAAGATATTCTTAAAAAATTCCTAAAATTCTGCAAATAATCGACTCATGTGGTGTGCATCTATGAGAAATTTTACGTGTCCATGGCAGAAAGAAAGATGATTTTTAATATTTTAGACAAATATTTTGACTGTTAATGCGATTTAAATCTTTAAATATAAAATTTACTCTTTTTTTTATTTTTTTTATAGCAGGAGGAGAGGATGAGGTAATACTTAACGCAATTGTCGCGCAAATATATATACGCTTTTACTTGACGCTTTTATTGCACGCTCTCTTGAACTCGTCTATTCATTTATTTTTACATAACCGAAATTAAACGAGTTGTGTTGGAATTTATTTTTATTTTCATATTTATTCTTTTTTTTTGAAAATTGTGAGGAAGGAGAAGGAGAACATCATTTACCGTGGAGTATTGAGAAGAATTTATACCACGCAAACCAACCATTATTTTAAGTTGATGGAAGTAGTTATTTTTTCCCCTTAAAAAAAAGGAAAAAAAAACACAACTGGTTCGTAAATATTCGACACATTTTTTGATTTATTTTTGTTAACAAACGAAGGAAAACATGCTTAGATTTTTGAAAAATTGTACAAGGTTTCCCTCCGTTTGGAAAACTTTTGTTTCATCTCCTGCTTCTTTTTATGGTTGAGATTTTCTTTTGTGCAATTGCTAAAAATAAAGAAAAAAAACAAAAGAACTTTTTGCACAATTTTTGTGTTCCACTAAATAATAAAATGTATATTATCGCAGCGTGAAGTAAAAATGCAAACTGTCTCCGCCCAATTTTATACATTGTTTTGATCGTCTTTTAAAACCCGATATTACGTTTACTAATATTATAAAAAAAACTTTTTATCGTACAACTTTTATATAAAAATAAACAAATTTCAAATCACTAAATCTGTTTTTTTATTAAACTTTTATTAGTATTTATGAATGGATAATTACCACGTAACAATAACAGTAATTTAAATATCATAGTTTAGGAGTAAACAAGGTGCTGTATCTAAAAATATTTTGCAATTTTTCATTCAAATAAACTGAAATTTACTTAATTTATTCCTAATAAGCAACATAATTTTTCTAAACTTTATCGTGTCTTGCGTGAAATACACAGAACTAAAATACTTCGTCTGCATTTACGTAGTAAAATACAACTCTACGAACTTCGATTTGCATAGAATTTTTAAAAATTTTTAACCATTTAAAACTATTTAAATCAACTTTATCGCTTATTATCACACTCTACTTAACTCATAGAAAGCATTTATTATACGTTTGCATGACGAATTCTTACATAAATAACATAAACTATCTGAAAGCGACCTTAGAGATTATGTAAACAAAGTTAAATCAACGAGCGGATCGGTTTCAATTAATTAATTAATAAGCAAAACGTTAAACACAAACGTTAAGTAGCAGAGAATTGTTGCTAAGCAAGCAAAACTTTCTTGACAAGTGAGTATTGTAGACGTGCAGACAATAGAAGGGGGCAAGAAACTATCATATATGTAGGAAAAGAAAGAAATAGGTCTGCACATTGGGTCTCAACTCTACCATAAATCAAGTAGGACACAGAGGATAGTTGAAGTCCTTTGGGACTAACGGGAATAATCGTTTGGTCTTAACAGGCCATGTGACATTTTATCTTGTCTCTGGGAAAAAGAGGCGATTAGGAAGTGTGTAAAAACGTTTCGTGCTTCAATAATTCATTCTAATTATGCAATATCGTCCGTCCTATCAGCATAATTCAATATAGATTCGTAGAATTTATTTAAAATTTTATTAAATTATACAGAATTTATTTCCTTTCGACTCTATTCCAGTTGATGAATTATTTCTATATATTTTTTTATTTTTATTACTAAATTTTTTGAATTAACTGTCGACGTTTATTCAACTCTTTTTTTCTTTTTATCAATAGCTGGCGGTATTTTTCACGTTCTGGCAATATACGAGAAGTTATAAGTGTCATAAATGCACCAACACGTATACGTTAGGCGATTTATCGTGCTTATTTTTTATTTTATTTTTTTATCCTTTAGCTTCTTTTATAAGGAGAATTTGAAGTGATAGATCTAGTAGTTGGTGTTTTACTTTTCGATATTCTCAACCTGTAAAATGGATAGAAGATAATTCTTGTCGGAAATATTTTCTAAACGCTAACACATGTAAGTAAAGCTGTTTATTGAAGTGGGTTTTTATAAATGTTTACTTAGAAACATCGTATAAAACTTGAGTAATAATGTTTAGAGTATAGTTTTATCCCGTTTTTAGTTAGCTCAGTTTGAAACTATTTGATAAAAATACGGAAAGAACGCATCTTAAATTATTTTATTGCGTGAAATTCTATGAGTATTACCTAATTTAGGAGTTAAAAAAAGTTAAGACAGAGATCCTTTATCTTAGAATCTAATCGAAGTCCCTAGTTGATTGAGATCGAATGGTTCGAACGTTTAATGAAAAATATAAAAACCTAAATAAAGTGCATCACGTCTGAATAAACTGAAGGTTATTTTGACGAAGAAACATATTTATTTATTCATTTCATGCTTTTCTAAATAATAGAAAGTTTATAAATATCAGAAAATATTTTCTTTCCATTTCAAAAAATATTATCCATCAATAACTATCTCGTTTTTCATATTTAAAATCATACCAGCTTATCTGCTCTGCATGTAAATTATTATTTAAACATAAAAAAGGTTTAGTTTCACAGGAAAACAAAGCAATTTTTGAAGGAAACAAATTCTGTCAAACAGATGAAGGATGGAAAAGATTCAGATAAGAAACATGAATCATTGACTAATACTTTGTAAAAGTTTCAAGAGGGGATGGAAAAAAATATTGTATTTACTTATTTATTACTATTTTTTTAAATTTAAAATTTAAATAATTAAATAAAAATTTATGAGTTTGAATTATCAGAATTCTAATCTTAATATGATAATATAAAACATTTAGAAAGTGTATTCAATTTATTTTTTTGAATGAATGAAGTTTAGTTACAACTCTTTACACGTGAATGAACGATAAGTGCTGAATGGAAAATGCAATTTTTTCCCCTTCTTCTTCCTTTTCTTCACGTGACAAATTACTTTTATTGCTTCGTCCATATGAAACAATTCACAATCATTATTTTAAAATATTCAAAATGAATAGGTGTTAGCTTTTATAAATTTTGGTAGCCATTAAAGTTTATATCATTTACCATCCTTAAGTACAGTCAAACTTCGTAGCCATTTATTTTGTCCATTATTCTAAAATTACTGCTCTTGTTAATAAGGTAGCAAACATAGACAAGCTGTGAAAAGAAAATGATAAAAAAAAGAAATAAAANTCTACTGTATTTTTTCCATTGACATTTTTCCTTTCGCACGACGTTTTTTATGATGTAAACGCATATTAAATACACGGAAATTTTCAATAACACTAAAAGCTAATTTACAGTTATTATAATAAATTAATTAGATAATTAATTTAGAAACTGGTAAATAGAGACAATAATTCTTACAAGTTTTAATAATTTTAAAAATTTAAACAGGAAGCATTTTTAATTAGACAAAAATCATATATATTTCACATTTCTGTAGAGATTTATAATATAATTTATAAAATACTTTCATAAATAAAAAATATATATTTAAAAGTTAAAAAGATTAAAATGTTTATAGACAAAAATGGATTTCTAGAGAACGTATATATTAATAATTTTCAAATTCTCCGATGCAAACTTATATTTTAATATAAATAAACACGGAAGAAGATAAGAAAACAAAAACATTTTTCTATAAATTAAAAAATATATTATCGTCATAAGCGAATTAGAAACGATTTTCTGTATATTACGCACAAATTATTCTGCCTCTGTAAATGCTTAAACTGATCATAAATTAGCATCTCGTTCCGACCAATCTGGAAAAGTTCAAAATTATTTTATAGAAAGTAAAATATAAGCATTTTAAAAATATTTTAACAGAGATCTTCTGTGAGACTGCGCATATTATATTTTTATATAAATTTTAAGCTGATTAAATTAAAGATAAGGAAGATGTGAGATGATGTAACTCTCCTCACCGTTTATGCTCATTGGAAAATTAAAGAATCGATTGTTTTAAATGTAAAAACTCCTATTATACTTATAATTTTTGAGTTAAACAATGTAAAAATGATCATTAAAACTAAATTATGCTTAATTTAAGACGTATTAAAAGTTGCAATAACTCTATATGTTATTGATAGGCCTAGGTCTACCAGGTTTACCTTTTACAACTTTTCTTCTTCGAAACTAATAGAGCAAAGACAAGACGGTGTTGATTCCAAATTAAAATTAATCAACTTTAAATCTAGTCGAAATTTAACTTAATTGAAAAGGTCTATTTGACATTTTACTCTCGTCAATACTCTTCTAGCCCATTACTTCAATTTCCCCAGGCAGCAACATCAGTCTTTCCCTCCCTCCGTCATTAATAACGTATCCTCTACCTGAATCATCACCTAACTCTCCTTTCTATACAACTGAATCAGATGAGAAGGAGGGGGGAAAAAGAAAAAAAAAGGAGGAACTTATCCCAATCGAAGGAGAACAATAAAGTGAAGTTCAGCATCCATGTGATCGCTCTTGATTGCGAGTGCATTGTCAAGAACATTTTATTACCAGAGTAAATTTCTTAAAATTCATTTCCTTCCCTCTAAAATTTCAGTAGAGTGATATGCTTATACAGGTAACAAATCATCCTTAATTATTCGCTTAGATGCATTCATAATGCTATTGCAGTAATAAGGGATGATTTGTTGTGATGTTTTAAACGTTTTGATGAATGGGTTTACTTTATTGTAGTTTTACATTTATCATATTATTCGAGTAATTACGATGAGGTTACTTTGTTATGAAAATTTATTTTTAGAAAACTTTCGAAAACGTGTCGGTCCTTCCCGTCTTTAATTGAAAAGTATAAAAGTATTAATTGCTCTTAGCTTACTTGATCTACAAAGATCAAGATCTCATTACTTTTCTAGCGTTTTATCACCGTCGATTTTATCTTTTTTTCTAACTTCATCAAACTTCTGCTCTTAAACTAGACTAATTATTTGATTTATAAGACGCTTCTTGGCTTTCCTTATCGTTGTAAAAGTTATCAACTCGCTAGTTTATTTATTTAACTAAAATGTTACTGTACTATTTAAGCGCGTTGTTCTTAATTTTTTTAATCTTTATTTTGACTCAAAAGACGAAAGAAATATATATATATATAGTCGGATATATCTCGAGAGTTACTTGTAAAGGATTTCTTCCTCTCGAGAAGATCTTCAACCCAGAACGGGGGCCTTATAACTATTTTGAACTTATCTAAAGATTGTTGTTTCTTATTTACTTTCAAGAATGTTCTTCTCTTCGAAAGGTAAGTAATTTTTGACTTGTAAACAAAAAAAAAAATTCAGAAATAAAAACAAAATAATTTTTAACCTGTTATTTCTCCCTGTATATCAGGGGAAGAAGAAAAAAAACCAATATTTTTGTTTCAAAAACCCGGGGCATTCCCTACCGAGAAGAAATATGACAGATTGTCATGTTAAGAATGCCAACCTTTGAAGTGGCAACAACATATGAAAGTTTTACCAATTGGCATTCGGATAAAAATATTTTCCAAACGGATTGTTGACGATGCACTGAAACACTTTAGCCTGTAGCGTAACCAAACTCTTAGGAATGCAATAGCATCATGTGTGCCACTTCCTTTGTTTTCTTTTTACCTTTTTTTATTTTTCTCTCCAACCATTCAATATGTATAAGAATGTAATTACTTTTCTACAAGAGACGACACATCCACAGATAAAAATTAATTTTTTCTCCCTCCTCCCCTTATTACACCTTTTAAAAAATTACTCCGGAGTTGAAACTCCATCTAAGATAATCTCATAAATATCTTATTCTATTAACAAACTTTCTTTCATTCATAAATTTAAAATGATACAGAATTTTACCACAAATTTCTAAATATATATAAATAACGGATTTATTATAACTTTCCACCAGACAGAAGTGGATAATTTGAAAAATTCTCTTCTTTAACGATTCTTAAGGGAACAATCCACGAAATTAACAGGTTAATCTACATATAAGGGAAAAAACCTTAATATATTCAAATTTAACACTAGAAAAGTTCTAGAAAGTTTCTTAAAGTTTGTTTTTTTCCCTCTCTTTCCCCTCCTCCTCTTATTCTTGACGTCAGATATGGTAAAGATGTGTGCTTTGGATAAGATGAATCTATCTTTCTAGAAATCCAAATGAAACAAAGAAGTGCTGAATCGCCGTTTTTTCTCTGAGCAATCTACTGTAAGCAGTAAGGATGGAAGAGACCTTTTATTTTTTTATTTTTATATATATTTTTTTATTTTTTTATTTTGTGTGTATAACATTTCTGACGTCAAATCAAAACAGACTCTCTATTACAGTACTTTTCTCTCTGGGATCATACTAAATTTATTTTTATACTTTATTCCGTACTCTCTTGATAAAAACATAAAAATGAAATGAAAATACATAAATTTTCACTTTTTAAATTTTTTTCAAAATTCCTTATTTAAGTGAGATTTTTCACCTTTAAAACTTCTTCCACTTTAAATTTATTAAAGCTTAAATAAATCGTAGTTAATTTATAACAAGACAAAAATAATATTTAAGAATTTTATTGAAATTTAAAAATAATAATAATTAATTTNAGGCATTTGCCTAAAATTTGCTGTCTAGTGATTACATATCTCTCAACTTTGCACAGTAGATGCCATCTCAAGTTGTTAAGGGAATAGTCTCTCCAAGTGGATTTGTTCCATGTGATATGTTACCTCACATATGTTACTAGTTGCATAACTCTAAATAGGCATCTCAAACTCTATGATGATGATTTACCTCTCTATGGACACATCCACAATTATAATTTTAATTGATAAATTTAATGTAATTTCATATATTTATTATTATATTATATAAAATTGTTTTAAAATATTTTCCATAGCCATATTTTATTTTAATTTGTAATAGATTCTGTTTCTCGCCGGTTTGGCGTTCGTCATCGGACTCGAGAGGACATTCCGATTCTTTTTTCAGCGGCACAAAATCAAAGGTTCCATATGTTTCTTCGGCGGAATATTTATCGTACTTTTTGGCTGGCCTATCGTCGGGATGATTATTGAAACTTACGGATTTATTTTACTTTTCAGGTACAGTTTTACTTTTTAATTAATATATGATTATTGGACAAAATGAACAAATTAATTGATTGATATTTATCAAAATAGGAATGTGACAACTATGTTAATAATCAGAGTGATCAGACTAAGATATAAAAGTAATGAATGATATTGAAATCGAACATATTTGAAATTTAAATTTTAATATTTAATATGTTAGGTATGTAAGATTTTTAGTTAGAACACCATTTCCCAAACAGATGTCTGCACAAGATTGAGAAAGTATCTAGTAATATGAGTTTATTATTCTAAAAACATGTTGTTATAATCCCAAGTTTCATTAAAAAAAACATTATCATGAATACAGTTAGTATATATACAAGTTGCTTTTGTCGTAATGCACATTCAGTTTCCTCCAAAAATCTACATTTGTCCTTACACATCAAAATTTGTTTGTAATACCAGATATGATTTGAGTACTTGGCATGTAGGTCCTTGCCTCGAATAGTTTAAAACACTGATGCACCAAATCTTTAAAATAATTAAGTTGGGTGAATAGATGGTATGTGGAAGCACATCTGTGCCATTTCTGGCAAGAAATTCTGTGACCATTACAGATTGACATGCAGGTGCATCATCGTGGAGAATGTAATATTGTCCATTTTTCCACATATCCAGACATTTTATGATGTTTACGTGAGTCCATTCGTGGTGGTTTTAAGCTCTTCGAGGCACAGAACTATACGACAAATCCCTGGATTTTCAAATCCTGCCTCGTATTTCGGGGAGTCGGGCCAATGACCATAAGTAAGAAAAACTTTACATAGTTTGGATTTGAGAGGATACAAAAAATAAGATGTATTTGTTGTGACAATATATTTATATCTGCTTTTGATTTTTGTAGTATAGCATAAAGTGAAAATGTCTAAACATCTTGGGAGGGGGACAATTTTCTGGTACAAAAATACTGTGTGGGTATTTTCTCTCTATTCCTGAAGGATTGATGCCCATGTATGTATGTTAGTCATTCATATGCATAGCTAATAGGAATTCAACTTGTAGACTGAAACAAACTTTTGGCTTGGTGTGTTAGGTAAGTGCTGACTATTCATAGTTCTATAACTACTGCATGAGACCATGAATAATCTGACTATATAGTGTGAGGCTCCAAAAACACTTTTTGATTTGTGAAGGGTTTATATATTTTAGTAGTTTGGAAATCGCATAAAATAATAATAGATAATATACAAAGTAGTTTTACCACTCTGTATATTATCTAATATTATTTTATGGATATAAACATCCTAAGAACCCAATGTATTAATAATCATCAACTGTCTGTCAAATTAATTGGGCAAAATTATGCCACAGATATTAATTAGAAAATCCCCATGCAGTGTAGGTAACCGTTGGATGGTTATATCTAAAACTTAAATGTGTCTGGAAGGGAGGAATCGCTGAGGTCCGGATGGTGTAACTGGTCGGCACACCGCACGGTAAGCAGAGGTTGCAGGTTTGACTCCCACTGTGGGCCATTTCTGTTCTCCTAGACTATTCTAAATTTAAAATAAAATATGGAAAATATTTTTGGACATTTCTCAAGTTGGAATTCACCTTTATTCGACTTTAATTTTGCATTTAACTCACTAATTAATAAATTAAAACAATATATTATGGTCATTTAACAGTCAAATTTGATCAAGAATCTAGTTAAGTTGTAATTGTTTGACCTCTGACCTCAATCAATTTTCTCTCCCCCCTTTTTTTCCCTAAATAACTCTTCTCACGTTTCTTTAAAATTCCAAAAATTCTATATTTATTTAAAGGGAGAGAATAATTATCTCTGTTAATGTTCCTTTTTTTATTATTATTACTTTTTTCATTACTTATCCTACTTAATGGCTCAATTCTAAAGAATAATTGTATTTTAATTCAACTTGGAATGAGGATGATTTTTTTTGAATATATGAATTTCTGATCACTCAATTGGATTCATTATATCAAATATTTAAACAGAAAAATTGCATTTAATTATAATCTGATTAACATAAAAATAAAGATATTTATGTTACAGAGAAATGATATATACATATACCATAAAACCTGTTCAAAATGGACATCAGCCAAATCGGGGAAAAAAAAATTCGGTACCGTACGAGTCCGGTTTACACAGGTTTCATTATACACATATACAGTAAAACCTGTTCAAAACGTAACTTTAATAAAAAGAAAACTTGCCTAAAGGAAGCGATTTTCTGTGTTAAAAAAAACCTGTTTAAAACGGGAACCTACCAAACTGGACCGTACGAGTCCTCTTTACACAGGTTTTATTGTATTTTATTTACAAATAAAATAGTGAATATTAATATGTATGTATAGTGAAACCTGTGTAAACCGGACTCGTACGATATCAAATATTTTTTTCGGTTTGGCAGGTTTCCGTTTTCAACAGGTTTTACTGTACATAAAACATTTATGTATAGTGAAACCTGTGTAAACCGGACTCGTACGATATCAAATATTTTTTCGGTTTGGCAGGTTTCCGTTTTCAACAGGTTTTACTGTATTAATGTATTTTAATTAAGTTAATATGGAAATATAACATAAATAAATGGTAATTAGTTCAATAAATTACTGTTATTTTGCTGTAAAATTAAGCTTTAGAGGATCAAAAGGAACTGTATAAAATATTAAAAATATCGTGTTTAAAATGAGAAAAATTTTATGAAAAGTCAAGTTTGAATTATTTATTATTTAAAGTTAAGAATATTTATAGAGTAAATTGTAGAATAGAATGATAATTTTTGATATTTTAAACATATTTTATTTACATATTTATGATTATTTATTTGAATAATGCTAGAAACTCTACTCTATCAAACTTTATTTATCAAACTTACTACTCAATCAAAACGTTAATAAAAATTAAAAATATGCATAGTAAACACAGACATGAATCGAGGTGATAACAATGAATGTGGTCGTCCCTCTCTAGACTTTTATTTAACCAGCGCTTTATTTATTATTGTGTTATAATTTTTAATTCATTTTTCATTGTAAAACAAACTGGATCGACGAGATAAAGCCATGCAATAATTAGACCATTTGCCAAAGGGGATGCCTTCTATAGGAAACACGTGCCTATTTAGGTGTTAGACACGTCAGTCGTGGGTTCTCGCGTGAAAACTCAACGCACGAACCCACGACTACCAGTGTTCAGTGATGTTATCCACCCGACCACGAGTGAGCACCCTTATATAATGAGCACAAAACTATTAAAACTGATGACACAAACCCAGTTTTCGGGTTGGCTTATAGAAATGAGGCGCGACAATGATAAAACTTTCTGTAATGATTATAAAATATAATTAAAAATATAATTAAAATATAATTAAAAAAACTCAGAAACTAAGTAACCAGTTTCCAGAAGGCGGTTTTTAATTCTGTAATAAAATAAAATAAACAATTTAATAATGCTTTTCAAGAATGAATTCAACTACGAAAGGCACATGTTAACAAAAGTACATTTAAAAATAAAAAATAAAAATTACCTAATATTATAGAGACATTAGAGAATAAAATCAAAATTCTCTTCCAAATTCTAAGCCAAATGCTATTCTTTCCTATAATAAATCCGTCTTTTTATTAATTTAAAACCATTTCTAAGAAAAATTCCACATATACAATTACATTTATTCTAATTAACAAAATGAAATTTTGAAGTAAATTTGATTAAGAAAAATTTTCTCTTTCTTTCGTTTTTTTACTCGTCAATCTAATTATAAATTTCGTTTGGATAAAATTTAAATAAATAAATTTTCATTCGTATTAATAATTTAAATTAAGTTTAAGGAAAAATTGGTAAATATAAAGGAAACGTTGAAAACTTAACATATCACATTAAACAAATAAAATTGAAAATTTGATTTATATAAATATCTTTGTGTATCCAATTTAATATTTCCAAATATTTTTTTAACAAAAGCAAAAATTCGGTTAGGAAATTACATTAAAACTTTCCACAAACAAAATATTTATCTTCAAGAAGTTTATAATATTAAAAAAATAAATATTATATTATCTGGCTTTTTGTCACTAAATGATAACATAAACTCTTCTAAAAAAGGAGTTAAATAATTATTTTACTGAATAATAAATCAATTTTATCCATCAAACATAAGTTTATCTAAGAGGAGAAAAATATATATATATACTTAAAATAGTGGAATAAAATTTTGATGATAGAGTATAAAGGAAAACACTTCTGCAGTCCAGATAAAACCTTTAAACTCTTCTTGAATCGAGGAAAATCCTTTCATACACACAGCTAACATTGACATACTACATCCGTTGCTAAGATTAAAAAGCAGTTGAAAGACTTCTATACAACCGCCAATAAATACAAGAGGAACTTGACCGCCACAAACACTGCACTTCCCATTTCTTTTCTATCTGGGACACGTCAACAAGTCGACAACTCGTGACTGATGTGCTGCAACCCTACAGAATAAGGCTTTCGTCTTTTCCCCAATTTCTTTCTATAGTTAACCACATATTCTAACATTAAGCAACGAACAAGAAGCCAAATTCATTTTCTTTCTCGACTTGCAGCTAGAGAGAGAGGTTTCTTCGTCGTAGTCATTATCCATCAAATCATCTGCTTGGATAAAAGTAAACGTGACTAGATTCTAACTTCCCTAGTTAAATTTTTCTTCATAGGTTTGGGTTTCCTTTCAAAAACTTTCCTCCTGGATTAGGGATCTTTCTTCTTTTTTCCCTTTTGCTTTAACGGGGAATATACCTCTTGAATCGTCTAAATTTTAAATGATTTTTAATTTTTATAGTAGAAATTCGAATGTAATCTAAGAAAATTGTTCGATTTCTTAATTCTTTTTCAATTTTTAAAGGTTCCTTAATTTAAAAATGATCATTTTTACGTAAGACGTGACAAACTTCTGGAGATTGTGATGCGTCGCGTAAAGAGGATTTTATATTTTCTTCATATTGGATTCATTTTTGTTTTTTATTATTTTTATNGAATTCTACCTTTGGAAAAAGTGAAACAGTAAAGAATGTTGTGGAAGAGAAGGAAAAAGTGATAATACGCAAAAATAAATGCAAAGAATAAAGAAAAGAAAATAAAAACATACTTACAATAAAAGAATACATAGATCTTGAATGGAAGAAAATGCCAGAAGAATTCATGAAAGAGCACCTACCTTACAATAGATACATAATAGGATACCTACAATACATAGGAGTGGGAGCACGAGAATAAAGCTTCCTTACTACATTCACAATCTTTGTTTTCTCTTAAAATCTGTATTAGTCCAGTAAATAATTCGGTAATAGTTCAACACAAATAAAAACATTATTGATGACTTCCATTGTTGTCAAAAAAGGAAAAAAAAAATATATTAAAATTTATGAAATTTGGCTATTTTTCTGTAACTGCGTGTAAAATCTTAATTTCTTCAGGCTAGACCATGATAACTAAATTGGACTAAAGATGGCTGACCTATTTATTGCGAACTAATAATTAAAATTTAGCCAAAGATTCGGCTTTTAGATATTTAGTGCAGATATTTGGTATATCTTATAGGCTTTTTTCTATTCTTTTTTATGCGCGACAGCAAGAAAAAAAAAACTGAAGATGACAAGGCATGTGGCAGTTGCAATAGAATGTAAATGAGGGAATTAGGTGTATATGCTGCTGCCTTATACAAACCGTATATATAAAGAAAAAAAAATGTATACAGTTCTAAAAATAAATATATATTCATAGTAGAAATTCGAATGTAATCTAAGAAAATTGTTCGATTTCTTAATTCTTTTTCAATTTTTGAAGGTTCCTTAATTTAAAAATAATCATTTTTACGTAAGACGTGACAAACTTCTGGAGATTGTGATGCGTTGCGTAAAGAGGATTTTATATTTTCTTCATATTGGATTCATTTTTGTTTTTTATTATTTTTATCGTTTATCCAAATCTTATGTAAGATTTTTTTCTGGCAAAATGTAAAATTTATATATTTCTTTCAAAATTTTTATACAAGATTTTCTCTCAATTGATTTTGTCACTTGTCGTTGCTACTTTGTCAACCATTTCAGGTTAAAAGGATGATATTCAATGGATTTTGACTAACAACTTACAATAAATTCCATAAATTTCCTATAAATTCAAATCCCATTGATTAAAAATTGATCCTATTTATTTTATTATTACAAAATTCCATTTTGCATTATTCAATTATTTTCTTTTTCTTATTAAATTTAGCAATAGCATCTTTAAGAACTAAAATTATCGTATGTAACTTTAAGAATTTCGATCTTTCGCAAGATTACAACATTTTTACTTCTAATTTATTCTGTCTACGTAAGAAATTCTTTGAATATTTCTCTCTTACAGAATTTCTGATAATTTTTTCATCATTAATCAATACTTTTCTTCATATTTTTTTGACTTCACAAGATATTAAACAGACTGAATTTCTACACATGCATCAGCTCTTAGCTAATATTTTTAATGCAAGAATAAGTTTAGAATTTTTGTCTCTATCGAGATATTGAAAGAGTAATTATATTCTCATAGAATTATTATTTACATGAGATCATTCGTTAAATTAGGAAAAAACACTAAGCAGTAAACGAAACTATATTTTGGCTGAAGGAATAAGAAAAAAACTCTCATTTGATGATGAATCAAACTTTATAATCCATTAAAAATAATAAAAGCAGATAGGAAACACATTAGGAAACAGAATCTTGACAATTATGTGAAGGTCTTAGGTGTTGTCATCCAGGATAACTTGTCAGAAAGATGCACAAATCAATAAAAAAGAAAAAAAAGAGGAAAAAACCCTTCGATAGAAGTTACTTTTGCAACCCCTCTAACCCCCTATAGACCATCTTTATTGAATTTTTTCCCCTCTAGTCCTTATGTGATAAAATCACTGCTCTTGGAGACAGATGACGTTGGAAGAACATTGTCAAGAAAATCATCATAGGTAAGGTGCAGCTAGTATTGGAGAAAATGTATGCTGTCGTTACTCTTGGAGAATTCTGTAATGGAGTTTTCTATGATAAAGCAACGGTGGCAACTAGAGATTTAGAATACAAAGTAATCTTTCTGTATAGAAGAAGACCAGAATTCCACTTTTTTTTTATTAGAGTGAAACCGTTTAACAGATCTGAAGTTCTGGAAAGAAATTTTTGATTGAAGTCAAGCTATAGCTTTTATTATCAATGAAGTTATTTAAATAAAATCTTTTAGGGCTTCTATATCTTCTGTGTGTGCAAATATAAAAATTTCTGGTGCGTAAAAGTAATATAAATACAATTTTAAAAAGTGTACCGCTTATACTGTATAAATACCTAAACAATTATGCAATTAAGTAGTAAAAAAACTGTAATTTTTATATATTAATGTTCTATAAAAGTGTAGAATTTCTTTTATTTTATAATAAATCTAAGTGTAACTCCTGTAACAGAAGTAATAAAACGATATCCAAGCTTAAGTTTTTACCTGTGGAAAGCAATGATTTTTATTGCAACTCACAGGTAAAAAAGTTCTAGATATTTTTAATTATCTAGTAACAGTTTGGATGAAGAAATATATTCTTAATAAAATAGTTTCTAAATAGGCCAAACCCGTATTATTTATCTGGCAATAACCCCGCAATAGTGAGAAAAGGTAGTATCTTGTCAACTGCCAGAGCAATGTTAAAGCCGAGTTTATTGGTTGGGATTACACAACTTTCTTCCCACATTGCTCTCACTTAAGATCCGTTATAGCTGCAGAAACTTTTGACATCAGCAAACATTGTTGTGGTTTTCGGGTGTAAGTCGTATATTTTGCTTGTGATATCTGTCAACCAACAGTTTCTACTCAAATATTATGGCTGGCCTGTGTGTGTGTTGGTGATAAATTTGTCAGAATGTATCCTTTAAAAATTTATGTGATTAAAGTTTAAATATCAAATTGTTAAATGTTTACAGAAAGAATAATGTGCGTATATATAATATATATTATAATAATGCCACTAGAATGAATCTGGATAGAGGAAGAGAAAGAAGGAAAGAATCCAATTTACAAATAAAACATTTATAATAAAAAATATATTAAAATTTATGAAATTTGGCTATTTTTCTGTAACTGCGTGTAAAATCTTATTTCTTCAGGCTAGACCATGATAACTAAATTGGACTAAAGATGGCTGACCTATTTATTGCGAACTAATAATTAAAATTTAGCCAAAGATTCGGCTTTTAGATATTTAGTGCAGATATTTGGTATATCTTATAGGCTTTTTTCTATTCTTTTTTATGCGCGACAGCAAGAAAAAAAAAACTGAAGATGACAAGGCATGTGGCAGTTGCAATAGAATGTAAATGAGGGAATTAGGTGTATATGCTGCTGCCTTATACAAACCGTATATATAAAGAAAAAAAAATGTATACAGTTCTAAAAATAAATATATATTCTTGAATAAAAGGGTATATTGTAATGAAAGAATATTATAGATTTGAGATTTCAATATTGAATATTAGTTTTTATATATATATATATATATATATATAAA